AAAAAAAAAAAAAAAAAAAAACCTAGTCTCGAACAAACCCCCCTTTTCTTTGTAGAGAGCCAGATGAATTAAAAAGAACCTTTTAGTCATGTGATTTGTATTTTTTCCCCCCTCAATCCTCAACACCTATAGATGCCTTACGGTCAAGTGCTTCCAGTTTAAACAGATTCTCTGCTTTGCAACCTCCAGCACCCTCAGGGTCTACATCATCTACACCTTTAGAGTTTGATTCCCGGCGGACCTTAACCAGGTATGAAGCCCACTCTCCATGTTAACCGAAGACTGACCTGCTTGTGGATGTCTGTTTCTCTCCCTCTCCTTTTCTCTCTTTCTCAGTTATTCCCTCCCTCTCTCCCTTTTCACTCACTCACACACACACACACACACACACACACACACACACACACACATTATGATTATCATCTCTGTGCATGGATTTCTTTTATCCCTGAGGTTGGTTTTCTTTTTCTTTTCCTTTGATCTTCACGTTCTATAATTTAGATATAGAACATAAGATAAGAACATAATTGTGGTGGATTTGGGATGGGGTAGAAAGGAAGGGCAAGTTACCTGCCAAGTTTATAATAGTTTGTTTCTTTTTTAAGAATTTTTCTTAATGTTTATTTATTTTTGGGAGAGAGAGACAGAGAGAGACAGAGCACAAGCAGGGAAGGGGCAGAGACAGAAGACACAGAATCCGAAGCAGGCTCCAGGCTCCAAGGTGTCAGCACAGAGCCCGATGAGGAGCTCGAACTCACCATGAGCCGAAGTCGGACACTTAGCTGACTGAGCTACCCAGGCACCCCAGTATAACAGTTTGCTTCTTAAGAAAGCCAGACCCATCCAAACAGCCCGGAGGCTGGTGGGGGGGTTCACTAAACTAAGGCCTCAGGATGCTCTAGATAACCTAACACTCTAAAGCATGTGAATTAAAGGGCCTGACAGCCCACCCATATGTGTCTCTGTCACACTGTTCTTCAAGTTCTGCTATCCTTTGTTTCTTACTATTCTCTGTATTGTACTGTTCTACTTTCATTTATGTAGGATTGATACAGTCAAGTGTTCTGTCGGTTGGTTTATAAGGAATGTAGACCTATAATATAATGCCAGGAACAAAATTTTTATTTTTCATTTTCTTAAGATTTTATTTTTAAGTAATCTCTACACCCAGTGTGGGACTTGAACTTAAAACCCTGAGATCAAGGGTCACATGCTTTACTGACTGAGCCAGCCAGGTACCCCTCAATATTTTCAACATAAGAACTTTTAGAGCTGCAGTTGCCTTAAGCTCTCAAAGTTTCCTTTTTTATTATTGTAGCCCATTTGGCCAGGTAGACTTTCTAAACTATGTTGCTGTTTTCTTGGCTTCTACAACAAAATATGCTTAGCACAATTCAACTTCTAGTGATGGCTCAGCTTGTCATGAAGCATCATTAGTGGCTCTTTGCCCTGACATAGATTTCCCCTGATGGCTCTACTCTTTGAGTACTTGTGTCTGTTCTTTCAGAGGTTAGACCACTGTCATGCCTCTTGTCCTTTCTCCTCTCTTCCTTTTCATTTGCTGCTCCTGCCCTGCGATGGGCTAAGGAACTACTTGCCCAAATGATGGGAACTGTCTGAAAAAGAGACTAGGGAAATAAGAATATTCTCTCTTACATAAAGTATGTGACTTTGGCCATTCAAAAACTACTACTGCTACTTGGTTCTCAAAATACTCTACTTTTATTTGAAGTTTCTGAATAAATACTGTATCATTGTCTAATTTTTAAGATAGTGAAAACATGTTTGTCGGATATTCTTGATCCCTTTTCACTTTTTTAGCGCATACTGTCATCACTGTCGTCTTTATTAGATGATTTAAAAAACTAAAAGAATTGCTATTGCATTTTAAAATCTTAAGTAGTATCACTTTAATATTCATGAAAAAAACTAAGGCATACTTAACATTCTCTGGAAGCACTGATTTTTACTTGTTTATATGATTAGAGTCTGAAGTAGAATTGGTGCCTCACATATCTAAAGTCATGTGTGAAAATTAACATGCTTTTAGAAAATCTTAATGTTATTTTATAACTTGAATGCATAGTGGATGGGGTGGTCTTTCTTCTGACAAAGCATATTTTGTCTTTTAAGTCGTGGAAGCATGGGCAGGGAGAAGAATGACAAGCCCCTGCCGCCTGCAGCAGCCCGTCCCAATACTTTCATGAGAGGCGGCAGCAGCAAAGACCTGTTGGACAATCAGTCTCAGGAAGAGCAGCGCAGGGAGATGCTTGAGACGGTGAAGCAGCTCACAGGAGGCCTGGACGTGGAGAGGAACAGCGCAGAGGCCGACCGAAGCAAGGCCCGGGAGTCAGGTGAGAGCCTTGATACACACATACAGAAAGAAAATGGAGGCCTTAATGTGGAATGAAAAAGACTCTGTCCCTGTGTAGGTTTCAGAATCATTACATGATAATAACATTCCAGTATCTTAAAAGGTAGAGGGCATCTTCATAGTTTTGTAACATCGGGCCCATTTCCCAGGTTATCCCTTTGTTCAATAATTCATATGTTTTCCTCATTCTCTATTAAATGTGATGGTGATGAGGGTCTCTTGGTGTATATTAAGCAATCTGAATTTCTTAACAGATTCTCAAAATAACCCCTTACTGTGCATTACAGTGCATGGGCTTTGTGGAGCCCTCCAAATTCTGGCATTCAAAGCAAACCAAAGAGAAAAGATCAGATTGTCTTTTGTTACCTTCATCTTGGTAGTATCTGTGACCTTTGTACGTGTTTAGCATGTATATCATTAGAGGACCAACTCAGATAATGCTCATTACCTCATTTACATAACCTGTCTGCATTTCTGTTTGCTCATGTGTTAATGTGGGGATGGTAAATGTGCCCACCCTGTAGAGTTATGAAGATTAAATGAGAAGTCTATACAGGTAAATATTTAGAACTTTATCTGATACAGATTTTTCAAAAGGTATTAAATGTCATGATGATGATGATGACAATGAAAAACAGCTTAAAGATAATTTTCAGCATCCTTAAAATATTAATCCTGAGGTAATGCTGGTTGTTTATAACATTTTTATAGCTTTCAATTTTTTTTTCTTTTTTTTTTTTTTTTTTTTTACAATTTAAATTTTGTCTCCTAACTATAGTCTCTAAATGGATTCAGAGGCAAATTGAAATGTCTTCTCCCAGCTGATAGACTTCAGATTTTTTAACTTGAGGGACCTGTGGCTTTCTGATAAGTACAAACAGAAAAATGCTATGAAGGAGAGGAACAGAGTTCTAGAAAGGTACTTAACAAAGGAACTATCTAGAATTGATACAGAGGGATATCAGGAAGGCTTCCCTCAGGTCTGATGAACAGGACTTAGAATAGATTTATAGGAAGGGAGGGGTCTAGAGCAAAGAGAAATCACTGCAGCCAGGAGCAGCAGCACCACGTAGTCACACAACTGCCCGTGACCAGTGTGGTTAGAGCCCTGGGCAGGATGGTACAAGCTCTGCGTGCTCTTCATCACTGAAACAGTGGAAAAGAACCAAAATGCAGACAGGGCCAGAAAAGCTCTAATTATAAACATTTGCCGTATGTTCTTATATTCTTTTAATTGTAGAATGTGAAGTTACTTAGTGCCTATCTATCTATGCTAAAATAAATATTTCTCTTTTCTGCTTTTAGGTGTCTTGCTTTCTTAGATTTGTATCTATGTTAATGCTTTTATGGAAAAATCAGTGTAACAACAAATAAATATTGTCAACCATAATCCTGCCATCTTAATTGCAATTTTTGTCGTTTTTACTTTCTCACTCTTTTTAACCTCATTAGTAGCAAAACCAGAAATTCCAGCAACATCAGCCCCTGACAAGCCTGCATTGTCAGAATTGGAGATGGAGAGGAAGTCTAAATCTATCATCGATGAATTTCTACACATTAATGATTTTAAGGTAAATGAAGTTTGGAAAAAAAGAAGGCAACAACACAGAAATCCCTGCAGCAGAGAGATACAGTAACTTGGCTCTGGTCTAAAGCATTTGTCACTAAGACTCGGAGTAATCCAGGTCTCATACAGTTTGGTTTGCACAACTCGGATGCACTCTTATCAGCTATTCTCTTTTAAATAAATAATGGAGGACACAAGATCACGTGGCAGGAAGGGGAAATGACTACCAGTCCATCCCCACAGTGGGAAAACCACACTGACTTTGATGTTCTTGAGCCAAAACCCACACGTTATCTTTATTTGGCATTCCTACCTCCCTGTACATTACCTGTCATGATCTTCACAGTCCTTTTATGGTCATTCTTGTATTAACTTTAAATTACGGCTGGCATTACTTTCTATTTCGTAAGTGGAAACCTGATGCACCAAGGAGTAATCCCACTGTGTTGGGGCCAGACAGCCTAAGTGAAACATTTAAGACACAGCTTTGAATTTGCTGTTCTTTAACCCTAACTTTCTCTTTCATCTTCATTTTAAGATGGTAGCGAATAAAATAGACATAACGCCTGACTTCATGAGCCCTATAGTCTAATGACGGAGACAGATCATAAAGAGTTAACTCAACAAATAGGTATTTAAATTGTAGTTATAGTAAATGCCAGTAGACCTCTAGGATCTTAGGGGAGATTCATATAATAGGACCTAGCTTAGGGATCTGGAGTCAGACAAGTCTTAATCATTTCTCAGATATATTAACTTCTTTTGCTTTAGCATTGTATTAAGAATTCTTTCAAGCTTATTTGTTCTCTTGACAGTATAGCCATTATCTGCTTTCTATACATGTCACCTTGATTAACTATAACCTAGCTTTCTAAAGCCCTCAAGCCTTTGAAATGGCCTAAAATTCAGAAGTACTAAGAGATTTTGATGATGAGCCAGTTAGTTGGAAAGGATATACCAAGTCAATGAGCAACAAAAACTTTGAAAGGAGAAAAGTATGACTCTGTGATGAATGGGAGCCATAGGTTGAAAAAGACCTTAGTAACACATGAGTGCAACAGGAGGACTCTTTGAAAGATCTTAGCCCTAGGCCTGGCCTGTAATATGGAAGGAACACAGTCCATTGTGACTCAGATATTTCACTGTACAATGTACAAGGCAGATCTGCAGGTTGATGATAAGAAGCAGGTAATATTGTCAAACTGTGAGGGTTTACTGTGTGCTAGGTGCCATTAGTTCATTTAATCCTCATAATGCCCTCCTGATATTAATACTATTTATAGCTATTTTATAGATAATGAAACTGAGATGCAGAGATGTTAACGAACTTGATCTGAATCATGCTTCTGATTGGTGGCCGACTCAGGATTTAAAATTAGGCTTCTAAAGGTGCCTGGCTTGCTAAGTCAGTAAAGCATGTAACTCATGACCTCAGGGTTGTAGGTGTGAGCCCCACATTGGGTGTTGAGATTACTTAAAAAGAAAATCTTTTTAATTTTTTTTTAATTTTTTTATAGTTTATTTATTTTTGAGACAAAGAGAGACAGAGCATGAGCGGGGGAGGGGCAGAGAGAGAGGGAGACACACAATCTGAAGGAGGCTCCAGGCTCTGAGCTGTCAGCACAGAGCCCGACACAGGGCTCAAACCCACAAACCGCAAGACCATGACGTGAGCTGAAGTCGGACACTTAACCAACTGAGCCTCCCAAGCGCGCCAAGAAAATCTTTAAAAAAAAATAAATAAAAGTAAAGTAAAAGTAGGCTTCTAGCTTCAGAGCAGAGACAATACTTTACTTGATTACCTTTAAGTTTATTAGTGTGTTATGCTAATGTCTCACAGAGCTCATCCTAAGGAAACGGTTTTTCTAGCATCTTAGTAGGTGCTAAGGTAGGTGTTAAATATAGTAGTAAAATAAAGTAGGTGTTGAAAATAATACAAACTAATATGTTTTGTGTTTAGCACTATGCAAAGTCCCTTTTTATGTGCATTCCTCACAGTAACCTTATGATAGGAAGTCAAGCCTGAAAGATTATTACACTCCTGAATTCACATAGTAGTAAGTGGCAGAGCCAGGATTCAAACATACATTTATCTGACTCCACACCCTATGTTTTTTAGCCTCTGTGATATATAGTTATTGAGTAACTAAAATGTGCCAGCCACAATTTTAGGATATCCTGCCTGGATGTTCTGTAGTGTGTGTAGTGAGCAACATAGTCTCTTGCTGTGGGTCATTTGTGGAGCCTGTGTTCTAGTGGGAGATAGAAAACTGCCCTAATGACAGATAATAAATAAACAACAGATATAAAAAGAAAAATAATGTTTCAATGCAGAGAAGTAAAACTAGGTGATATGATAGCAGTGATTGGGCAGTCACAGAGACCATAGGCGGTATCAGTTCACCTGAGTACTCAGTGAAATAAGAATCAGACCATGAGAAAATCAGGGAGAAGAGCGTGATTATGAATTGCTGTGACATTAAAAGTACCATAATATAGTTAGTTGACACTACACACAGATTCAGTGAATAGATTCCCATTGTATGACACTGGATCACGTCACATTAAATACCAAAGACATATGTATTCATTTCCATGCTCTCCTAAAAAGCATTATAATGAGGATGGTCTTTAAAATGAGGTAAAAATTCACAAGGATAAAGTATATAGGAAATAGCATCAACATTCTGGAGGTTAGAAATTAGAAGGATGAGTGGTCATTTATTTAGCAGACTATGAATGCACATAAGTTGCGGATGGGGCTGGAAACAGAAGGGATTGATTGGTTTAAAAGTGTATGTAAGACAGTTTTAAATGACAACTGGGCCGAATGTTTCCAAAAATGCGAATGTTCTAAAAAGATGAAGAGAGAAAAAGAAGACATCATGCATCCTGACATGTGATGTCAGGTTTTCAGTTGGATCCTAAACAACAACGAAAAACTCTGGGGACAGTAGTGGAAATTTCATATATGTACTATTTGTCAGATAATATTTTTATTGACATTGTGTTGGATATTAAATTTCTTACATATATATTTTAAAAAATTAACAATTGATGAATCTAGATTGAAGTGAATTTATATATGTGTACATTGTATTATTCAATTCTCTGTAGTTTGAAAATTTGTTAGATAAAAAGTTGATGTGGGGGAGGCATTAAATATAAAAGAGCAGAGGAGAAATAAAGCATCAGTGAGAAACCTAGGTGTGCCTTACTGCCTTCTTCAGTCAAGAGACTGCTCTTCTCACATGCATCTTCCCCCTCAGAAGAGCTACTCTCTTCAGAGGTTGAACCGAAGAATTTTGGATTCAAAGTTGAGGCAGCTGAGGGCAGGGAGGCACACTGCTGTATTGGTGAGTCAGCAACCGTGGCTGCCAGGCCTCAGAGTTACAGACCTCGCCAGATCACCCCATGATAAGGACCATTCCATGAGCTCCATACCCCAGGAGCTTCCTACAAAGGAGTTAGCACTTAAGCTAACCATGTTAACTTTCATATGAAGGAAGACCTTCCTCATTGAAAGTTTTGCAAATACTAATGTACCCAGAAGTACCTAAGTTGGCCACATTAAGTCGTTTGGCTCATGGTGATGAATTTCTGTTTCTTAACATACCATTTTCAGGTTTTTAAATGGTCCTAAGATAGGTACACATTTTGTAGAAAAATATACTTTGACTCTGGTCCTTTGAGTGATCATTAATAAAATTGTTAACCTAAGCACATTACTCTTCTTAAGATCCTCTATTCTACTATTTTTAAATATGGCTAATGTTGCCCATGTCAGCCTGCATTTTACTGAGCTATTTTAATGTTTAAAGAAAAAATGTATGAATACTAGCTTCTTTGTGGAGCTTTCTACTGACTTTGTCATAGTAAAAGATTTTACACTTATTTTAATACTCTGGTAATGGGATCCAGATTTTAGAGTAAGCTTTTATTTGTTCTTTGAACAGGAAGCCATGCAGTGTGTGGAAGAGCTGAATGCCCAGGGCCTCCTACATGTGTTTGTGAGAATGGGAGTGGAGTCCACCCTGGAAAGGAGCCAGATCACCAGGGATCACATGGGCCAATTGCTGTATCAGCTGGTGCAGTCAGAAAAACTCAGCAAACAGGACTTTTTCAAAGGGTTAGTATCCTCCTGAAGAGTGATATTCAATTACTAGGCTCTTGAGTAGTGGCTCTTTTTAAAAATACCTATATTTTTAAGTATTCGTCTATTTCCATAGAGGAAAATTATGTCCACTATAACATATGACTGCTGTGTAAATATACTGATAGTATGTTGGTGGATATGATGGCATTTTGTAGATTGTGCTAGTGTATAAAGGTTATCGCCTGGTTTTCCAAATCCTATTGTTTAGATCTGTGTTAAGATGTCAGTAAGGTAGCAGAGACCCTTTCACCTTGGGGAAACTCAGGCCCTCACCAGCCCATTTACCTGTAAATCCCTACATGTTCTTTGAGGAAAAAAAATCTTTAAATTTTTTTATTTATTTTGAGAGAGAGCACACGCACAGGAGGAGTAGAGGGAGAGAGGGAAACTCAAGGGATCTCCACACTATAGGCACAGAGCCCAGTGTGCGGAACAAACCCACAAAACACAAGATCATGACCTGAGTTGAAATCAAGAGTGAGACGTTCAACCAACTAAGCCCCATAAAAGCTTTTTTTATGTGAGAAAATTTCTGGAAAATCGACTTAACCTAAAAGCCTTATCCTTTTCAATAAACCCTGGTTATTTTGGCCAACGGATGCTTATCTGTCACTCCAGCCCCATAGCAAGATGTGTTACTCCAAATTGTTAATGACTTCGTGTGTTCCAGGTTGGTTTCATTATGATTCCTGTTGATGGCTGCTTTGATGAAGTCTGTCACTAGTGTTGTATCTTCATTAGATCAGGTTGTGATTTGTTTGTGATCATCACACGTGCATGAATTGGATTCTTTGTGGTACACGCACAGAATCTTACCCAGGCTGAGGTTCTGAAATCAAGGTTTAAGGCGAAAATTGTGTATGGTAAAAAAAAAAAAAAAATTCTGTTTTTAGGAGCTATGTTGTACAAATATAAACATAGAAACACACCCAGCACTGCCAGGTGCCCACTCTCTAATTAATCAGAACTAAGATCTCATTGGGTGGATTGGCAGTAAGAATTCTACACTATTTATTTTTTTGTTTCTTTTTTATTTATTTATTTTTAATTTTTCTTTAATGTTTTATTTATTTCTGAGAGGGAGAGACATCGTGAGCAGGGGAGGGTCAGAGAGAGAGGGAGACACAGAATCTGAAACAGGCTCCAGGCTCTGAGCTAGCTGTCAGCACAGAGCCTGATACAAGGCTCAAACCCATGAATCATAAGGTCATGACCAGAGCCGAAATCAGACACTTAGCTGACTGAGCCACCAAGGTGCCCCTTTATTTTTTCTCTTTGTAAATCTTTTTTGCTAAGCTCATATTCTTGTAAATTCAATGCAGATGATGAAATGCCACTGTGTGTCTTTCAGATATGGTCAACCTCTTAGAATAGCATAATCGTTAAATGCCAAAGTTGAATATGTTCAGGAATAATTATTTGATTTTGTGAGGAATGATCGTGTTTTCAAGGTCCTAGAAAATAACATACTTGCCCCTGGGATTATTATTAAGCAGTCTTTGAATAATAAGTTAGATTTCTGTGAATTTAGTGAATGACTAGATTTAGTCCATCTGACCCAGTTACCTTAGTAAGAAACTTTGGCAAAAGTTGCTGTGATTGTTGTCCTTTAAGGCCAAGATATGGGGCACCTGGGTGGCTCAGTCGGTTAAGCATCCAACTCTTGATCTCATCTCAGGTGTTAATCTCAGGGTTGTGAGTTTGAGCCCTGCACTGGGCTCCATGCTGGGCATGAAGCCTACTTAATTTTAAAAAAAAAAGAAAGAAAGAAAGACCAAGATGGTTTCCCAGTTTTAAAAAGAGAAATCAATTCACTCCAGTGACTAGCCAGTGTAAACAGAAACAGCAAATGAGGGTACCCACACTCTCACAAATAAATTGAGTTTTTTTCCTAGCCAGCTTAAAACTATAGCTTTAAGCCCCCCTAGAAACTACAGGTGAGGTCACAATTATGTTAATTTATAAATGTTTGCTTCTTTCTCATCTATTATGATCTAGTCATCAGATAATTTCAGAAGTCAGAACGCTAGATTATTATTTGCCTTTTCTGTCTCTCTTCAGACTATACTCATAAGTTTAGTTGTATCTAGAAAGACCCCAGGAAGTTCCAACTAGCTTCATTGTCTTTATTGAACTTGTGAGGTGCTAGCTTAATTTCTAGGCTATCTCAGACATTAGCATTTCCCTTTGGGGGATTCCCTGTGAAAATAAATGTCATACTCAGACAGTCGTGTCTACACTTTCATTGGTGGTGGCCCTGTTGCTGCTGCTGGCAACACAGTCCCCGCCTTTTATTTATACTGAAAATGAGGTGAACGCTTCTGTGTCTCAGTAGCTACTTCATCCTTCTCTATCCCTATTTCCTTCTGTAGCTAGAGAGAATGCAGTGATTCCAGACCTCACTTTTGATACTTTGTTAGTTAGATCTAACCACACCATCCTTAAACCCAGACCCCTATGAAGACCCATGTTCCTTATTAAATGGAGGGTCCAGACAGTTTTTTCTAAGATGAAAACAAAGTAATAGCCACTTGTCATTACCACCAAGAGCTTTTTTGCAAGTAGATCAAAGTTTCCCAATTACTTCTAAAGCCCAAATTATAAATAGTTTATACTGTCCAGAGAGGCTGTTTCATTGGAGCCACAGAAATGCCCTAAGTTTTTTGTCTCTTTAGACCCACTATCCAAAGACCTCTGTCCTTAATCTTAAGCTCAGCTTCCTAGATGCTGCTACTGCTTAGATGCCAATTTCTGAGCAATTGTTAGAGCTGATTCAGCCCAGCTCCCCAAGCCAGAGTTGATGGAAAGTAGAACGCCTCCCTGTTAACTGGGCACTGATTAGTCAACTATTAATCTGCCATTTCTCCTACAGAACCCTTCAAAGCATGCACTGCTACTAAATTCTAATACTAGACAGAAGATTTAAATAGGCTTTCTAGTTAGGTTGTTTACTAGATAGTTTATCAACCCCAAGCATAGTAGTTGCCACATATAAAACAAATCCCTACAAAGGCAACATCAAACCATCGTGAAATTTTCAGGACTTAAATCTAAATTCTTCATGAGGCAAATTAGGTAGGTAGGGAGATACATTATTGTATAGGTAGATTGGTTTCAAATAGTGTTGATAAATTCATTTTATATCATGGCTTCAGAAGATTTCTTTACTGAAACAATCTAGATAGTTCACTATTAGCCATGGAATTTGGAATCACTTTGAAAGTGTAATAAACAAATGAAAACCAAGACCATAAAAATTGGAGTTGTCAATAGACACAAAATACGGAAACTTCAGGAAGCTTGATATATCAGTGTGTTGGAGGGAAAATTCTTACCTCCTCCTTGACTTTTTTGGGGAACTTTTCCTGCCACTTATGGCAATACTGCCCTGCTATTCAGAGCTTACAGAGAGCATTCAGACAAAGTTTCCGATACAAGATTGCAGAGGTGCAAAAGAAAAGTTGCAGAGCTGCTAGTTAATAGTGGAGACCAAGTTTGCTCACACAGGTAAGATCTAGCTTAAAAAATCTTGTCTAGGGGCGCCTGGGTGGCTTAGTCGGTTAAGCGTCCGAGTTTCGCTTAGGTCATGATCTCACGGTTCGTGGGTTCGAGCCCCGCGTCGGGCTCTGTGCTGACTGCCAGCTCAGAGCCTGGAGCCTGTTTCAGTCTGTGACTCCCTCTCACTCTGACCCTCCCCTGCTCACGCTGTCTCTCTCTCTCTCCTAGAAATAAATAAAACATTAAAAAAAATTTTTTTTTAAATCTTGTCTATAGGAATCCTTTGAATATGATACTAGAGTATAAGAAGTCTTCATCATCTTTTCATTTATTTCTTCCTTTTACCTGTAATTAGATTCTCTTATGACCAGTCATAATACTTGATCAGTCTGATTTTTAGATGTTCTCACTGTCTCTTATTTATCTACATCAAGATTTATTTTTTTTAATTATTTTACCATAGTGCAAATTGTGGGAGATGCTGCTGACAGTACTGTTTCCAGTTACAGAAGATTATTTGGCCTTTTCAGCAGAGTTTTGATCAGATCTCCAGCGAATTAAAAAACATTTTTTTAAACTTTTAACCATATATCCCTTTAATTATATTTTAGACAAAAATCAGTATATAAAGTAAATAAAAGTAGAGCCTCTGTAGTTGAGATGGAGGGAGGGACACCTAAAGTCCGACCTGTAGACCTCACCAGAGTTTAGTCCGTTGGGTGTAATGGTCACTACATACCAAGAAGCAAGGGTACTGTGTAGTTCTGTTTCATTCAGCCAGCAGAAATTATATATCATACATGGCAGTGCTACAGGCTGGGCGAAACTACAAAGATATAAAGATAGCTAGGAGCTTCTGAACACCATGGATTTATCTTTTTTTTTTTTTTTAATTGTACAAAAGAATTTAGGAATTGTAAACCTGAAAAGAAGCTTCTACGAGCTTGTTCTACAGAAATCCTGTGTTCAGTCAAATATAGTTTTTTTTTTTTTATTATTAAGTTTGTTTATTTTGAGAGAGAGTGAGAGAGCACTTCTGTGCACAAGGGGGTGGAGGGGTCAGGCAGGGGGGAAGAGAGAGAGAATCCCAAGCAGGTTCTGCACTGCTCGAATCCTGATGCAGGGCTCTAACTGACAAACTGTGAGATCATGACTTGAGCCGAAATCAAGAGTTAGACCCTTGACCAACTGAGCCATCTAGGCTCCCCCAGCCAAATATGTTTTTTTAACAGCAGTATGGATTTGACCAGTGATTGTGTTCTATAGATTGTCCCATGATGAACTGACTAATCAAGAAATAGAAAACCAAGGGGTGCCTGGGTGGCTCAGTCGGTTAAGCGTCCAACTTCAGCTCAGGTCATGATCTCGCAGTTCCGTGGGTTCAAGCCCCATGTTGGGCTCTGTGCTAACAGCTAGCTCAGAACCTGGAGCCTGTCTTCGGCTTCTGTATCTCTCGGTCTCTGACCCTCCCCTGCTTGTGCTCTCTCTGACTCTCAAAAATAAATAAAAAACATAAAAAAAAACTTTAAAAAAAGAAATAGAAAACCAAGGCAAGAATACGGTTATCTTCTAGTTGTGATTTGAGATGAAAATAATAGATCTACTGCTAAAAGACCTGGACAGCTACAGTTGTCTCATGGGCTCATTAAACAGCTTAATCTAATGCATTAAACCATGGAACATGAATTCACATTGTAGGATGATTAGCCCAGGAATCGTGGAGTCCAGCCAGATTTGTTCCATCAGTGGCGCATTAACTGAGCTTAAAGTGTGCATGTAATGAGAGAAGAGCTGTTATATAGCAATCAGGTATCAAATAATTATAAGCTGTGAGGGCAGAAAGTTGGCATTAAGGATTCCCAGAGTTATTTTGCAGAGCTACAAACTGTTTTGAAATGGCACTTTCAGACAGGCAGCCCTCCATCCTAGTGGTATCTCTTTTTAAGTGAACTTTTGTAATGACCCGTTGACCTCTACGGTAGGTAAACACAGTGGCATACTCAAGCTAAAAGCCAAAAACTACAGTGAGAAAGCACCCATTTTATGTATGAAGAGATCTGAAAGGCTCTGAAGACAAATACCACCTGCCCTAGCCCCTACACTCACTCATTCCTTTTCTTATGATAATGTGCATTTCCTTGTAATTATGTGTATGTCTCTTCTAGTTAAATTTACTTTTGTTTTTGTCCTTTTTAATATGCTGTATATGGGACTGATTAACAAAGTCTTGAGTTACGTTTTTATGTTTTTAAGTGACTGGTTTTCACCCTGAATTACTATGCTGATAATTTGTATTTGACTTTCCCAAGTTTTATATTTAAATTGTCTTTATTTTATTTCACACTGAAAAAATTTTCAGGCCCTGAAATCTGGAAACCATTAGTCTTCCTTTTTAATAAGTCATAACAATGATGTTATTAGTAATGTTATCACTCTCTTATATCGATTCAGTTTGTTTCCCCATTGTGAGCTCCTCAAGAATAAGGATATTTGTCCTTTTTTCTCTTTGGGTTTAGTTTCCATTACACTGAAATTTTCAGTCCGTGTATCTGATTGATCCAGGGAATATGATTTTCAGCTCTGGTAAACTCATTAGGTGGTGTAGGATTATATTAAATATTTCTTCCCCCAGAACTTAACATGGCTGCCTGTTTTCATCTTAAAATCTTCCAGAGATCACCTTCATATAGAGCTATCTTCTCCTATCTCCGGTGGGATATCCTGGTACCATAGTTCATGTTCATCAGAGTATTAGCCCTTCCTACATACATGCTTTTTTTGTGTTGTTTTTTTTTTTTAGAGAGAGCATGGGCACAAGAGGGGAGGGGCAGTTGGAGAGGGAGGGAGATATTCTTAAGCAGACTCCACACTGAGCATGGACCACAAACACAGGACTTGATCTCACAAGAGTGAGATCATGACCTCAGCCAAAATCAAGAGTCAGATGCTTAACTGACTGAGCCACCCAGGAGCCCCTAGAATTTCTTTTCCACTAATATAGGTTCTTGAAAACAAGAAATTATTTATCAGTTACTTTCTGCGGGGCATGATATCTAACACTGTAGGTGCTTTAATAGATATTTGTTGACTGATTTTTGGACTCTATTTAATCTTAACTTCTGAATTATATTTGCGTGAATTTTTCTCTTGTTCTTTTCTAGTTTTTCAGAAACACTGGAATTGGCAGATGACATGGCTATTGATATTCCCCATATTTGGTTGTACCTTGCTGAACTTGTGACCCCCATGTTAAAAGAAGGCGGAATCTCCATGAGGGAACTTATCATGTAAGTTGTACTTGTTTTTGTTTTCGTTTTATGTGTTTGTATCACGTTAAACTAATGCACAACTTACCAGCGAGCTCTAGCATAGTGCTCTTCCCTTAGTGCCTCTACAGGCTCCTGGGTGCAGCCTGTGACTCTTCAGGCCTTCTCATGTCAGGGGAGTAAGAAGTACAGACTGCCCATTACAAAATAAGTCATGGGGATGGAACATGTAACATAACGAATGTAGCCAATGATATTATAATAACTTTGTATGGTGACAGATAACTACAGTTATCATAGTGATCGTTTTGTAGTATATATAGTTGTCGAATCACTATGTTGTACACCTGAAACTAATTCAAGTATACTTTAGTGGAAAATAAAAAGACTTATTTCTATATAAAAATGTTACATTACACTGCATCTACAGTGGAGAAGTGACAGGGCTATGATAACACTGTAGTCCATCGAGGTTAGCAGTGTTTGTAGACAGGGCTCCGAATCACATAACTGGAAAGTCATTCCTCCTGGAAGCTCAATGTTAATCTGATTTTTGCATCTGTCATTGCTCAAATGCCACAAGAAGTTATTTCTACATAATGGCTTGTCAAACTAATTCCTGCATGTTCTGGTTTTCGTAAAAGGGACTTCATCTCAGACATTCCTAGATTTGGATAGGGGTGTGAAATTATTTCTACATTGTACAGACTAGTTGTTCCTAAACTCTTCTTTAAAACGTCAGTATTTCCCCAAAAAGTGTTCATATGGTCATACTCTACATACTATTGTGTCTCTTTTGTTTGAGGTTCACAAAGTGTATTACAGCACATTAAAGATTATGAGAATTCTGTAGTAAAACAAAACAATAAAAAGAAGATTTGGGTGCTTGGCTGACTCAGTCAGTAGAGTATGCAATTCATCTCACAGTTGTGAGTTCAAGCCCCACATTGGGTATAGAGCTTATTTTAAAAAATAATAACAAATTTAATAAAACCTATTTAGCTTTGTTTAAGGTAGCATTCCCTCAATTGTAGAATTCTTTTCTTGAGGAATAATTATTCATATCCTATGGAACACAATGTGGGAAGTACTGATTTAGACTCTGAAAATCAGTGGTCCCTTTCTGTTTCATCTGTATTCTCAAGAAAAGCTTCTTTTCTTAAAAATATTTCATAACTAAGTTTCACGACTTCCGATTACCTAAGGTGCTTCTCTCAATTAGGCTTGAAGTGGCGTATATGTAAATAGATTAGTAAGACCGATCATTGCATTTTGTTTCTGTCACTGAGGCAGTTAAAGGCCAAAACCCAGAAATTCTAAAGTCCCTTTCCGGCTTCTCCATGAAGCATAAAGTGAACTTGACGTCTGAACTACTTCTGCTAAATATTACTTAGAGCAGGTCCTGAAGCTTTCTCTTGCCCAATATTATTTAGGTTGAGTAGTAGCTGTTCTTTCAGGATACGCTGTTCACCTAATGTTTTAGAACAGGAAGTTTGTTCAGAGGTACTTAATCACTACTCCTGTCTTTTACAGAGAATTTAGCAAACCTTTACTTCCTGTTGGAAGAGCTGGGGTCTTACTTTCTGAAATATTGCACCTTCTATGCAAACAAATGGTGAGTGTTAAACTGAGTGTTAGATTTAATAGCATCTTAGGCAGGGCAGTGATTGTGATCTAGAATTACCTGTGAATAGCTTAGATATCCCTATGCAAGTATTTGTTTTCCTTTTACTTTATGAAAAGAAGAGTGAGATCTCTGTTTCAACCTAGTTTCTTACAGAGGTGTATTTCTCCTTCTGTTTACTAGTAACTTGGGAAGGAATTATCTAATCTCAACTGGATTTGGTATAATTCTAAAGAATCTCAAGATATGTTGTATTTGTGGCTAGTAATTTTATCTTCTCTTGAAACAAAATGGCTACACTATTTATACTTTTTAATACATTTCAGTGAAAACACCTTGCTTTCAGAGAAAGGTAAGATTCCTAAAATGATTAATTTTATTAATTTTGGGTTTCAAGATAGGCAATCTGATTAGTAATAGGTGTTAAAAATGTTATTCCAGGCACCTAAGTGGCTTAGTTAAGCATCCAGCTCTGATCATAGCTCAGGTCTTGATCTCAGGGTCGTGAGTTCAAACTCTGTATTGGGCTCTGTGCTGGGCATGGAGCCTATTTTAAAAAGGTGGAGGGGGGGCCTCAGTGGCTCAGCTGGGTTTGGCAACTCTTGATTTCACCTTGAGTCATGAATTGTGAGTCTCAAGCCTCACGTTTGTGAGATTGGGCCCCACATCAGGCTCTGCACTGGCTGCACGGAGCCTGCTTAGGATTGTCTCTCTCTCTTTCTCTCTGCCCCTCACATGTGTATGCACACACTCTCTCTCTCTCAAAATAAACTTTAAAAAAAGATTCTATAGATTTGTGAATTGCTATCTTAAAGTCAAACTTAGTTTAATAAATACTGCACAATTCTCTGTAAAGGTCTATGCCAGCAACTCAGTGTACAAAGATAACTAAATCTTCAAAAAATATATAAACTAGAAAGGGAGACAAACAAGTCTAAACCAAAAGTTTCAAAAGAGTATATCGGTGCTATATTAGAGGTCTATGAGGTTTGGGAAAGCAATGTTAACAAAACCGACGGTGATAACATGAAAACAAAACTCATACATGAAAATTCTGAAGTGATTTTTTTACTTATTCAAACCATAGCCAAAGGTATGAAGATGATAGATTTCATCGTTTTATAGACATGAGTGTAGGATGTCTCTGAATATACACAAGCCCCTTTGTACCGCATCTGTGGGGTAGTTATGTATAGTTACTAAGTAGCCTGGTCTCTGGTTGGTATTTGTTATTACTAAAGTTTTTATTGAATCCTAATTTGTAGCTCCAAAATTCCTTCCTCCTTTCCTAACTACTTCACATTAGTCCTTATTAAAAATCTAAATTCTTGGGGCGCCTGGGTGGCTTAGTCGGTTAAGCATCCGACTTTCGCTTAGGTCATGGTCTCGCGGTTCGTGGGTTCGAGCCTCGCGTCAGGCTCTGTGCTGACTGCCAGCTCGGAGCCTGGAGCCTGTTTCAGTCTGTGACTCCCTCTCTCTCTGACCCTCCCCTGTTCACGCTGTCTCTCTCTCTCTCCTAGAAATAAATAAAACATTTAAAAAAAAAAATCTAAATTCTTATAACTTTTGTCTGTAGAAACCGAAAAAGCAAATTCTTAATTCTCCTAACCAAATTCTCATAGATCATAAACTGAAGTGAGAAAGTCTGAGTTTAAATCCTGACTCTGCCAAGTTATCAGCTATGCCTTGGGCAAGTTACTCTATGAGATAACGAATACATGTTTCATAGCTAATAGCCAGCCTTATAGGCTGACAGTTCCTTGTATCACTGTGACTTTGTTCAGGGACTGGATTTGTACCTTCTCCTCAGTTTTCCAGCCAACAACAGCTCTCCTCTGTTGTTTCTTGGGCTCAGTGTTGTTCTTCTTGCCCTTGAAATACTTCTCATTCCTGGTTCAGGAACAGCAACCTCTTTATTCATTCTCAGGTTAAGCAGCATAATTTTGATCTTTTATGAAGAGGAATTACAGTGAGTCTTGATGTATGACTTTAATAGCGGATATAGCACTAGGAAAAGAGACATTGTTGAATTCATAAACTCTGTCAGTTGGACTTTTTTTAGGTGATTATATTCTTAAATCCTAAACATGAGCTTGCAAGTCTCTAGATTAGTCATCTGATAAAATGGTTTACTGAACCTTAAACATCACTACTTCAGCCATTCACTATTACCTTTACATACATTCAGGCATCTAGGTGTGAGAGCCAAGAGTCGTGAGAATTTACGTTCATATCAACAAGGGAAAAGTTTTGATTTTTCAGTCCTTAAATTTTTATATTCTTGACTTCAAGCAAGCCTTTTCTCCTAATCCTCCCCCTCCCCATGCTTCTCCTCCTCCTCCTCCTGCTACTGCTGCTGCTGCTGCTTCATCATTATCATCATAATATCTTCATATAAAAGTAAATGGACTGGACTTATCTCTGTTTTAGAGCCATAAGAAAGTGGGAGCCTTATGGAAGGAGGCTGACCTCACCTGGAAGGACTTTTTACCAGAAGGAGAAGATGTACATAATTTTCTCTTGGAACAGGTAAGAACAAAGCTTATGCCTTCCTATTTAATAGTAGTTGGTCTGTTTCATAGAAGAAATGAAGGTAATTTCATTCATAGTCCAGTTATTAAAATTAAGACCAAAATAGGAATTATGGTCAAGATGTCATTTTAAGTCTATGCTTTAGGGCGTCTCCCAACTATTCATTCATTAGATGATAGACAAAAAATAAAATTTAAAGGACTTAGCCACACACAGAGAAAACAAGCTGCATATCTCCATGAACCAAAAATGAAATTGGTAACTAAAGCAGGTCTTCTGAGCTCTGGATTTAAATGCCAGTAGAGACAGCTAGAAGTTATTTCTGTGAAGTAGTGAGGACTCAAATGCCCCTTACAGGGTAGAAAGTTGGAGGACAGACATAGTTCATGAAACCAAGTGGGAACTCCACAGATAGACAAATGATACAGTCTTGCAGACAAAATCTTAGCGAGGCTGTCCACTTGGTAACTGGATCCAGAAATCTACAACAAGGCAAACGACCTCATGGTCAGTATAATCTGGTTCTAAATAAGGAATTGTGGAGTATCAGAAAGAGGCAACCATAAAAATAGTAGCCAAGGAAGAGTGACAGAGAAAAGAAACAACTCCCTCTCAAAATGATCACAATCTGAAAATCAGTATATTGTGCTGGATAAAGACACACTGTGTTAGGTTAATACAGACGTTAGCTTCCTTTTGAAGCTAACCAAAAGGTTATCATCCAGATACACTGGGGAGCACTCCTGTCAAAAGATAAGAGCCTAGGTAAAGCATATGTTATCTTGCATTGCTGAGCTGATAGAAAGTGAAGGCATTTTCTAAGGAACAAAATGAATAAGTGAGGAAAAAATCCATAGATGAAACCTGAACTCTTAGCAATAAGCATACATGAAGGGTTTGTCACTCAGTGCCATTGTAAGTGCTACCAGAGATATTGGAAGAAGTTGAAATGGCCCTAGTTTAGTATTACCCTGGCTCCCAAAAAAAGCAAACCAAAATGTTTCTTGGAGAAAACATCCTCAACTTAGGGCTCTTTATTTTCTACATACTACCATTATCTAAATATATGGTTAACACTTAAGAGTTCATTTTAATGTGTAATGAAACAAGTAACCATGAGTGAGAGTAAACAGAAAAGATATGGTGGATTTAGACCCCAAAGACATGATATAATGGACTTCTTAATCAGAATATAATGTAACACTATATAAAAAATAAAATAAAAATGTGCAAGCAAGAAGACACTAGTCAAAATGACTGGGAAGATTTGAAAAAAAAAAGAAGAAGAAGAAAATAAGGTAGATTTCCAAGAGATACTATGAGATTTTAAGGGTTAAATGAATAGGTCTAACACATCTAATTGGAATCCTGGAAGGAAAAACAGAAGGAATGGAGAAAAGGCAATATTTGAAGAGATTGTGGCTGAGACTTTTCCTGAACTGATATCGTATGAATCTATACAGAAAGCACATATATACCACAGAGGGTGATTACATTTCAGTGAAACTGCATAAAATCAAAGACATAGGAAAGATTTTAAAGTAACTAGAAAGAAGTACGTCACCTACAGAGAAATGGTAGAATTTGCAGTAGCAGCAGTGAAAGCCAGAAAATAGTGGAGTAATCTCGAAGTGTTGAGAGAATATCAGTTTATTTAGAATAGTCTCTCCAGTGAAACACATTTAAGAATGAGTACAACAGTGGCACCTGGATGGCTCAGTCAGTTAAGTATCCAACTCTTGATTTTGGCTCAGGCCATGATCTCACAGTTGTGAGATCAAGCCCTATGTCAGGCTCTGTGGTGAGCATGGAGCCTCCTTGAGAGTCTCTCTCTCTCTCTCTCTCTCTCTCTCTCTGTCTCTCTCCTCCTCCTCTCTCTCTCTTTGCCCCCTCTTTCCTCTCTTCTCCTTTCCAACTCACACATCCTCACTTTCTCTCAAAAAAGAGATAAATTAATTAATAAAAAACAAGAATGAGGGTAACACATTTTTAGAGACTTAACAAAACATTTCTAAATAACTCATGACTCCATGAAGAAATCATAAAAGGTGGTAAATATTTGATTCATTGATAATGAAAAACCACAACATATCAGTATTTGTGAGATACAACAAAAGCAATACTTGAAATGAAATCTTTAGCACTGAACACAGGTAAGGTCATAGGTCAAGATCTTGAGGTCAAGATCAAGACCTTAAGGTCAAGATCTCATTTTTGACCTTATGAAATTGGAAAAAGGAAGAGCAAATGAAACTGAAAGGAAATAGAAAAAGGAGGTAATAAAGATCAACAAAACAAAAACAATAGAGAACAGTGAATGAATTCAAAAGCTAGTCCTCTAAGAAGACAAAACTGTTAAATCTCTAGCCAGACTAATCAGAAAAAACAAAATTGAAAAAGAAGACACCAATTGCCAGTAGAAAGAATGAAAGATGTGATGTTGTAATGTTTCTAAATATAATAATGGATAGGAGAAATTTATGAATAATTTTTATAACAGTAAGTACGTCAACTTAATTGAAATGAGTAAACTTGGAAGGTACAAACCACTAGAGCCGACTCAAGAGTAGATAACTATCCCTGAGTATCTAATACACTGAAGTAGTTAAAAACATTGCCACAAAGAAAACTCCAGGCACCCAGGGTTTTTACTATTGAATTCTACCCCACATCTAAAGAAGAAATAATACCAGTTCTGCAGGGAATTCTTCCAGAAAATTGTAGAGGAGAGATTACTTGCCAACTTATTCTATGAGGCCAGCATTACTCTAATAGCAAAACCAAAGACATTTCAAGGAAAAAAAACTATAATTATTCCAAGTAAATACAAAGAAAACATTCTTAACAAAATTTTCACACACCAGATCCAACATTGTATTGAAAGATTAATAATAACAAGTAGCATTTATCACAGGAATATAATGTTGTAAGATTCATAAGTCAACATATGACTGTACAGAGGATGAAGGAATAAGCAGGTCCAGAATTACTCCCTCCACTGAAACAGCTGTTGAGCTGGCAAGATGTGTGAGAATCAACTATTTCAGAATTGTGGGGTTGAGTCAAACCCCACAATTTGGTTGGTGCAGTACCAACACCAGGGGAATGCTTGATGAGCAAGAATCTGGTAAATTTCAGTAGCTTTGGCATTTTGCATGGAAGCCATTAGCACCTAGACTTGTAGCAGACCGTTGGGGAGATGGTGGCACTCCCTTTTCTGGTGGCAGATTGAGATTTAAAGACCTTATCCTCCAAAGATTGGTGCTGTGCCTTGCTTGGCAATTTACTGAGGGTTTGGTGCAGGGCCTGCCCAATGTTTTAACTACTCAGGCCAAAGCAGTTCCCTGAATGGTGTCTGTCAAAGAATTCAGAGAAACAGAAGGAATTCCTGTGTGTGTATGTGTGTGTGTGTGTGTCCGCATGTTTGTGCATGTGCACGCGCGCCACATGCTTGCATGCAGTCCCACCCTCCCCACCCCTCTCTTTTCTCATTAGATCCAATCATTCATTCACTGTAATTTCTACAAGGTCACTGGCTGGCTGGGGAGGTTACAGATCAGAGACTGTAATGACCACACACAAGAGGGAATACAGCCTTTTGTCTAAAATTCACTAAAACAGATGACTGCAACACTGACAATCCCTCACAGAGGGAGAGAATCTGATATCCAGAGTTAAACATTACAGTATTCTAAATGTTTGGTTGTCAACAAAAAAATTAGAAAGTATATAAATAAATACAAAGCAGGAAACTGTGGCTCATTCACAAGAAAAAAGAAACTGACAGAAAAAAGTATCCTTGAGGAAGCTCAAGCGTTGGACATACAGACAAGGAATTTAAATTAACTGCTTTCCGTATGCTCAAATTGTTGAAGGAATCCATGGACAAAGAACTAAAGGAAATCAGGAGAATGATGTATGATCAAATTGGGAATATCAAGAAAGAGGTAGAATTTATTAAAATGAACCAAATAAAAATACTGGAACTGAAAAATTGTAATAGCTGAAATGAAAAATTTACTGGGAGGAGGGGGCAGGTCCAACAGTAGTTTTGATCAAGAAGAAGAAAGAATCAGCAAACCTGAGTATAGAGCAGTTGAAATTGCTCAGTCAGTCGGAAGTCACTGATCTGTCCCTAATTAGCTGCCATGGAAATCCATCCTTAATTTTTGAAATGAAGTTCTTGGCATTGTTCTATGAAACTATGAGTATCACTAAATTTTTTAAATAAAAATCCCCATAGTTTTCTTAAATAAACTTTATAATAATACATATTGGAAAGTTAATTCATTAAACACATAAAGGAGACTTTAAAAGAAGAAATTGCTCAGCCTGAGGAGCAGAAAGAAAAGGGAATGAAGAATAATGAACAGCACCTGGGAACCTATGGGACAGCATCAAACATACCAACATGGGCATTAGAGAGTCCCAGAAGGGAGAGGAGAGAGAGGAAGGAAGCGGCAGCAAAAAATATTTGAAGACCTAATAGCCAAGAACTTCACAGATTTGATCAAAGATCAGAATCTACATATCCAGGAATTTCAGTGAGCTCCAAACAAGATAAACTCAAATCCCTAAATGAGATTTACTCTGAGATATTTTACAATAAAACTTTTGAAAGACAAAGAAAAACCAAAAAACAAAAACAAAAATCTTGAAAGCAATGAGAAAGAAATGACTTGTCATGTACAAAGAATCCTCAGTAAGATCAACAGACAATTTTGACTCAGAAACCATGGAAGCCAAGGAGTGCCTTGGTGGCTCTATCAGTTAAGCATCCTTGGAATGTGTGACTCTTGATTTCGGGGTTTTGAGTTCAAGCCCTATGGTGGGCGTAGAGATTACTTTAAAAAAATACAATATTTTGTGGCACCTGGGTGGCTCGGTCAGTTAAGTGTCTGACTCTTGATTTTAGCTCAGGTCATAATCTCACAATTCATGAAATCGAACCCTGCATCTGCTCTGTGCTGACAGCACAGAACTTGCTTGGGCTTCTCTATCCCCCTCTTTCTCTGCCTCTATCCCACTCACATGCTTGCTCGCTTTCTCTCTCTCTCTCTCTTTCTCTCTCTCTCTCTCAAAATAAATAAACATTAATGGGCACCTGGAGGCTCAGTTGGTTAAAAGTGTCTCAGTCTTGTTTAGGAGTTTAGGAGTTTACTCAGCTTAGGTCTTGATCTCATGGTTTGTGAATTCAAACCATGTCAGGCTCTGTGCTTGGGATTCTCTGTCGCCCTCTCTCTCTGCTCGTCTCCCATTCATGCTTTCTCTCCCTCTCTCTCAAAAATAAGTAAACATTTAAAAAATAAAGATTTAAAAGTAAAATATTTTAAAAAATAAAATGCTAATAAATGGTAAATACATAGCAGTAGGATGAAAATTTGTTTTCACAGATTCAAGGTAGTTTTTACTTTGTGCATCTGGGGAAGATAATAGAAATATCAAAGTCTTCAAAAGTATTAGAGAAAAGCTCATGTTAATAATCTTTAGTATTTTAGGGGTGCCTGGGTGGCTTAGTTGGTTAAGCATCCGACTTTCGCTTAGGTCATGATCTCGCGGTTCATGGGTTCGAGCCCCGCGTCGGACTCTGTGCTGACTGCCAGTTCAGAGCCTGGATCCTGGTTCAGTCTGTGACTCCCTCTCTCTCTGACCCTCCCCTGCTCACGCTGTCTCTCTCTCTCTCTCTCCTAGAAATAAATAAAAAAACATTAAAAAAAATTTTTTTTAATAATCTTTAGTATTTTAATCTGTGGCTTTTGCATAGTGAAATTTCATAAAATAAAGCATAGTTACATATCACATTGCCTAATACCCTTGAGAATCACCAATAATTTCGATTACTGTTTTTTTAACTAACCATCTAACCATCTAAAAATTTTGCATATGTTCTTTTTCAGTATATATGTACTATCATAATTTTATGTACTTGTGTCAGAATGGCATAAAAATCATCAAAGTTTCAAGTGAAATATTATTATAATTGTTTTTAAGTTTTATTTATTTATTATGAGAGAGAGAGAGAATGAGCAGGGGATGAGGTAACTAGAGAGGGAGAGAGAGTCCCAAGCAAGCTCTGTGCTGTCAGTGCAGAGCCCAATGCAGGGCTCAAACTCAAGAACTGTGAGATCAGGGGCGCCTGGGTGGCTCAGTCAGTTAAGCGTCCAACTTCAGCTCAGGTCGTGATCTCGCAGTTCGTGGGTTCGAGCCTCACATCGGGTTCTGTGCTGACAGCTCAATAGCCTGGAGACTGCTTCAGATTCTGTGTCTCCCTCTCTCTGCCCCTCCCCCACTCATGCTCTGTCTGTCTCTATCTCAAAAATAAATAAACTATTAAAAAAATTTTAAAAAAAGAACTGTGAGATCATGACTTGAGCCAAAATCAAGAGTCGGATGATGCTTAACTGACTGAGCCACGCAGGTGCCCCATGAAATATTATTTTTTAAAAATTGAAGTGAAATTCATATAACATTCAATTAACCATTTTATTTATATAACAGGAGTTACATAATTGGAGATTTTAAACAAATTTTTTTAATATTCATTTATTTTTGAGAGAGAGAGAGAATCCAAAGTAGGCTCCAGGTTCTGAGCTCAGTGTGGAGCTCGAACTCACTGACTATGAGATCATGACCTAAGTGTTTAACCGACTAAGCCACAGAGGCACCCCAATTGGCAATCCTTTTTATTCTTTTTTTTTTTTTCTTTAATTATGTTATTAAGAGCTAGCCCTTCCCATAACCCTTTGAGTTGTCTTTCTTTAGATGTGCCCTGTGGTTAGATGGTATTCAATTCAGGATTAAATTACTTCCTGGAAAATTTGGTATGTCAAGTCTGTGAGGTTTTTTTGCCCATGTATAAGTACTGTGGGCATCTAACATGCTTAAACCTTGTGCCACTGGCATCAGGATCATAAAAGAAGCTGAGATTGGTTTGTGAGCAGCACTGTGCTATGCAGTGGAAACAATGAGTGCTCCCTGCTGGGAAGCGGCTTATCCCTTCCAGGTTAGTGGGTGACTCTACCAGGTTTGTGCTCCTGGAGCCTTGTTGGTGCCCAGTACAGTGCACATTTTTAGTGCATTGAGTCCTTGGAATTGGCTGAGGTAGGTGATGGTCTTCCTGCTTTAGAACAGGTTCTCCTGGCAGAGTTGGAATTGTACCTCCAACCCCCCACCCCCATCCGTACCCCCATCTCTGACTCTTCAGTCCACATATCTGCTCCATCAAGCTGCTTCTTGTGGGGCCTTAAGACTTACATACATGGTAGAGTGAGCCAGTGTTCTGGGAGAATTTGAAAGCATGTACACTTGTGTTTATGCTTTTCAGGGTCATTGTCATGGATGTGAGACAACAGTCAACTAACTCTTTTCAAGTATTTAAGAACAAAATGAGAGTAGCCTTGGACTACCAGGATCTGAGAACGGGAATGGTGAAGCCAGTGCTCCTCATGGAGCTGCAGAGCAACCTGCATGTGGGCAGGGCACTTCCCAGGGGCCCGGATGCCCGCTGCATGCTGTGAATGGTGTGCTGATGGTGCTCTGAAGGCTGAGGCAGAGGCGTTTCCGCACTGGGTTAGACCCACACAGGCCATGATGATGTGGTTCATTGACGTGACTCCCATTTACAGTCATTCTCCATACCAGAATATTCAGTGCCTTGAAATTGAATCATTTGTGTGGGATAAAGATCTTTTATGCAATAATGATAAAACCCTTCGTTTTTGTTGACTTCCCTACAATACTTACTGGTTGTTCAGGAATTTTACAGTATGGTCTCATTTCTCTTACTTGGATTCACAGTGGTCAGGAGGTGTTTGAAGGACATAACCAAAATTAGAATTTTGACTGTCACAGAACCTGTGGCAGTGCTGAAATTAAATTCCAGGCTGCAGAAGGAGTTAAACTGGAATTTAACCAGTAATCCTGCCCTGCCTTAGTGCTATGTCACTGTTAAGAGCAGGACTGAAGCTCAGAAAGATTTAGAGGTGATCATAGCCATAGAGATAATTCTGGGAATTTTATTGATTTGTTGTTTTTAAGGAGAATCCGAGATAGTGAAGAAATATTCAAGAAAGATAGTGGAGTAGTACTTTTTCCAAACTATAAATAAAAGTTGGCTTCTACTGATCATTTTGATCCCATGTAAACTAGACGATATAGTCCATGACTTTGTTTTCCTCTCGGGGTGCTACTAATAATGACTTATATTAACAAATATAACATTTTATGTTTCAGAAGTTGGACTTTATAGAGTCTGACAGTTCCTGTTCCTCTGAAGCACTTTCAAAAAAAGAACTCTCTGCTGAAGAGCTGTATAAGCGACTGGAGAAACTCATTATTGAAGACAAAGCGAATGATGAACAGATCTTTGACTGGGTAGAGGTATAGAGATTATGTCATCTTCCCTGATACATCTGCAAGAAAGATTTTTGTGGGATCCCTTTAATTCACATACAGACCTATCTCCGAGATAGTGAGGGTTCAGTTCCAGATTACCACAATTAAGTGAATACTGCAATAAAGCGAGTCAAATGAATGTTTTGTTTTCCCAGTGCATGTAAAAGTTATGTTCACACAATACCATAGTCTGTTATGTATGCAATAGCATTATATATTTTTAAAATGTATATAATACCTTAAAGTAAAAATACTTAATTGCTATAAAAATGCTTTTATAAAAAAATATTTTATAAAAATATAAAAATGCTAAAAATTGCTAAAAAAATCATCTGAGCTTTCAGCGAGTCATTATCACTGATTGCAGATCATTGTAACAAATACAATAATAATAAAAATGTTTGAAATAACTGTGAGAGTTACCAAAAGTGACACAGAGACCCGAAGCAAATACTGTTGGAAAAATGCACAGCCCCATAGAATTTCTTGGTACAAGATTGCCACAAACCTTCAATTTATAAAAAGCACAGTATCACTGAAGTACAGTAAAGCAAAGTGCAATAAACCAAGTATGCCTGTACCTTCCCTTTCACTTCATAGGAGTATTTAACTTTAATGGAGTTCCGTTTTATTTTTTCATCTATTTGTATTTGACACTATAAGATTCTTATAAGATTTATAGCCTTTATGAAGTCAAGCAAAACTATTCAAAACAGAAGCCATTTTTCTGGATCCCATTAGTTTAGGATATATCCTACATTTTATTATTCAAAAGATATATTTTTTTCTATATGTTCTTGCATTTTAAATAATATTTTGGATAAAATCAATAAACAATATGTAATTAGTATGAATTGTGTTGGCTTTCATCTTCATATTAATGCTCCCTTCTGAAAATTTCATACCTTACTTTGTGGAATCTATTGCTCGTGTCTCTTTTTAAATCTGCTGCTGTATTCCTTTAGTAGTTCTTGTTTATGTAAGTATCTTTTACTTGCACACATTTTCCATGGGATCATATAATAATCCAATTTGAAAGAAAATCATGGAGGGCTAATGTAGTCCCCTCCCTCTTGTATAAAACCTCTTTTGTAGTCCTTGTAATGGGTTGTTTCTGTATCCACTCCCAGGCATTGGGAAACAGTGAGGTTTCTGATAATTTGGGCGTTTAATTTTTGTTGTCTTTATAGATTTCTTTTGTTCTTTTTACTATTTTTAATTTTTTTTAATTTTTTTAATGTTTATTTTTGAGAGAGGGAGAAAGAGTGTGAGCAGGGGAGGGACAGAGAGAGAGAAAGTGACACAGAATCTAAAGCAGGGTCCAGGCTCTGAGCTGTCAGCACAGAGCCCGATGCAGGGCTCGGACTCACGAAACACAAGATCATCACCTGAGCCAAAGTTGGACGCTTAGCTGACTGAGCCACACAGGTGCCCCTAAATTATTATTATCATTTTTAATGTTTTTATTTATTTCTGAGAGAAGTAGCATGAGCAGGGGAGGGTCAGAGAGATAGGGAAACACAGAATCCGAAGCAGGCTCCAGGCTCTGAGCTGTCAGCACAGAACCCGACGCGGGGATCGAACCCACAGACCGCAAGATCATGACCTGAGCCGAAGTTCGACGCTTAACCAACTGAGCCACCCAGGCGCCCTGCCCCTAAATTATTTTTTAAGTAATCTCTACGCCCAACATGGGGCTCGAATTTTACAGCTCTGAGATCGAGAGTCACATGTTCTAACAAATGAGCCAACCAGGCACCCCTGGTTTGACTTTTTTTTTTAATCTATTTTCATCCATGTCCATGTAAGATGTCGATCTTGTCAGCCTACTAGGACTTTTTAATTAATTGTAATAGTTTATCGTTATATCCCTGCCTCCCTTTCTAGGTTCTTTCATCCTTTCTTGAAATCTTGATATCCAGACCTTCGTTTCGTTATCCTTATCCAAACATAGCCTGGATTTCCAATATCCCTCTCACAAGTGATATATGCAAATAGAGCGTAATTGCCAGATGTGATCCAGCAGTTCGGAGTTAGGCAGTGCTGTTGCCTTTTTTGTTTTGGACTCTGCGTTTGGCAGGCTCACCACACAGAACTCGGATTGCTCTTTCAGTCGTATAGTACCCATTCTTTCATATTCTGCAGTTGAGTCCTCTCTCCCATCTGGAGCTTTATGCGTTGCTTTTTGGACCAGAATGGGGCTTTTAAAATTTATTACTGCTTATGTTCATCTTCTTAAATTAGATACAAGTTTTTGTCTGTCAGGACATTTTAGATTCTGACTTGTTCATAAAATTTCCTTGCCGTCTTTTCCACTTTGTATCCCCCTTGCATTTTGTTAGTTTGCCAACTTTATCCTCATCCTAGTTACGGGCAAAACGTGTGAGTAGGGGAGGGCCGAGGACAAAGTAGCATCCTTTCGGGGACAAGATCCCACCCCCACCCCCATGGACACTTCAGTTGTTAACCTGTTTATTGTTATTTCACATCATTCTATTGTCTATTTCACCTTTTCATCATGCCCATGGGGGACAGCTATCATTAAACAATTTGTCAAATGCCTTGCTGAAGTCCAGAGAATATGTATTTACATCCATCTGAGCTACCATATACTAACCAAATCCGAAAAGGAATGGAGGTTGGTTTAGCATCACTTGTTTTTCACGTACTTAACTTATTCCTCTTTCCTCTCTCAGACTTTTCATCCATTTATGTGATAGTTTGTTGCAGAAGTTAGCATAGAGTCCTCATCAGGCTTTCTGGTATGTTATTGACATGCCGTATTTTCAGTTTTAGAAATCACGTTAGTGCTTACATATTTAACATTATTCCCTTTTGCCATGATTTTTCATAGATCACCATCATTTCAGCCATTGGGTCTTTTATGTTTTCATGTTTTGCAAAATGATGCTATTTTCACCTCTTCACTTAAGTTGGGCTTCACTTTTTTATATCACTATTTATTCTGCCTATTCTGGAGCAACAATTATTCTCCTTAAAGAGCAGACAAAGGGTAAATTTCATTGAATGTAAACTATACTAGTAAAGACTTTAAAAAAGGAGGGAGCAAATAAAAATGCAATAGTACCTGAGCTCACAGTACATGAAAAGATGTGTCTGTCTGTGTCTGGTACCAGTATTATATAAATCTGATTTTACTTAACTATCCCGGTTAGCAGACCCGTCTTCTTGTCCTCGCCCATTTTTGTTAACATCTTTGCTTAATCTGTAGTGTTTTTGACATTATTCTTCAGGTCTATTCTTTTTCTTGAATATTATAATTATAATATTTAGCTTTATTTGGTGGAATCAATAGGCAGTTTGTTTCTTTGTAACAAAAGAAAGGCAAATGGTTTGGAAGTGGTATTTATTATCTAATATGTTTAGCTAATTTGTTCATTCTTTTTCAGACTCTACTTGAAATCTAAGTATTTGGGAATTTCAAGTGATATTCAGTACTTGAAATAGCTCTAATCAACCTGTTTATAAAGTATTGTTGAGCCAACAAGTAATGGTGTGTTTTTATTCTCTCATTTTTCCTTCAAAAAAATTGTTCAGACTTTGCAAAAGTCATTTCAGGGGCTAGACCAGCCTGGCTTCAGTCTAAATAAAGCATTTTTTTAAGAGGTATAAAACAGCAACTGGCTACAACACATAAATCATCAGATCTTTTATATCTACCTCTTGCCCTGTGCTGTCCCCAGCCTCGGCTGTTAGCAGTGGCACCACACATTTCTGTTCTCTTAGAAAAGATTCATAATGAAACCTCTTCCTGTAACCGAGCCCTCCATGGGCAGAGGTGTCCTGCAGAGCTGGCCAGCGGACTCGTTGACCCCTCTTAGCTCTGCCCGCACCAAGGCATGGCATTCAACAAAGAGAGAGCTGCTCGTTAATCTGTGTTGGTTTTAAAATTCACAGACATTTAACTCATCTCCCAATATCTTTGGAATTCTTAGCTTTCTAACGCAGAGGTTTATAACGACACCTTAAATTTTTTCCCTGGCCAGTCATTTTAAGGCTGACTGTTTCAGTGGAAAATACTAAGCTGTGCTATTAAAAGAAACTGACACAAGCATTAATTCTGTTCATAGGCATCAGGAGCTTTACTTTGAAAAATATTTGAAATACCTGCCTAGAAAAGGCCTCCTTTTGTTTGTATTTTCCTTTTGTTACTCATATGGTTTAGTACAGTGTTTCATAGCGAGAAGATAGGATCTTTTTTATTTAAGAAGATAAGATCTTAAGAGAAATAAACTAAAAAACAAATTTGAGGCCTGTTTACTCAACTCTACATTTTTCTGCCATCCTTAGAAAAGATGAACAGTTTTCTCACCACCCGAGGGATTTGAGACAATGCTTGAGTTTTAGTTCTAGTTCACATTAAAATTAAGATGAAAAAGCAATGTTAGCACATCTAAAAATAATTGCACACTTCTCAGAAAAGTTTTTAAAACACACTGTGGTGTGGTGTAATTCAAATTTATACATTCAGTTAGAATTCATCTTATTATGGGTTATCCATTGAGGAAGAAAAATGTTTTTATTTATTTTTTTAATGTTTTATTTATTTCTGAGAGAAAGAGAGACAGCATGAGCAGGGGAGGGTCAGAGAGATATAGAATCTGAAACAGGCTTCAGGGTCTAAGCTAGCCGTCAGCACAGAGCCCAATGTGGGGCTTGAACCTACGAACTGTGAGATCATGACCTGAGCGAAGTCGGACGCTCAACCGACTGAGCCACCCAGGCACCCCAAGAAAAATGTTTTTAAATGGTTGTAGTTCCAAATGCACATAGTACACAGTACTGTATAATTGAATCAGCAAAGTATAGGCAGCAGTGAGCTCCTTGAAAACTAAATACTGCTACTTAGAATGTTTTTAGACAGAACTGGTAGTAGCCTGAGTATTTTCCAATAAATCAGAAGATTAGTTTTTACAAGTAGGTAGAATGTGACCCTATCCACCCCTAGTGCCAGATGAGGCCTGGTTTAGGGGGACGTATTTCTCTGATATGCAAGGGTACCTTTAACTGTTGCATTTACTTTTGATTTCAGGCTAATTTAGATGAAAGCCAGATGAGTTCACCTACATTCCTTAGAGCTTTAATGACAGCTGTTTGTAAAGCAGCTATTATAGGTAAGTAACATTTCTGAAGACAGCTTTTAACGTCTTGAACTCCCCAAGTATGTTAACTGCTGATGATACGGGTCTGAATTTATATTGCCTTCAAAATTTGCCCTGTGAAACTCATTTTCTGTGCAAATGGGTGTCATTTCTTTCCTTCTTTCTTTTTTCTTTTTCTTTTTTTTTTTTTTTAATGTTTTATTTCATTCTGAGAGAGAGAGATTGACAGCATGAGCAGAGGAGGGTCAGAGAGAGAAGGAGACACAGAATCTGAAGCAGGCTCTAGGCTCTGAGCTGTCAGCACAGAGCCTGACACAGGACTCGAACCAACCCACGAACCGCGAGATCATGACCTGAGCCGAAGTCAGATGTTCAACTGACTGAGCCACCCAGGCGCCCCAGATGGGTGCCATTTCTGTCTACAGGGCCTGACTTTCTCAAGCAGGGGGATGAATAGCTGCTGTGCCTGTAGAGAGCCCAGATCTGAGCAGCTACTGTATGCCTTGTAATCTTCAATTCACCAGAAATGAGTGCATGCTGCTTGGGTGGTTTCCTACTCTGTTGTATGTTTCTTTACCTTTACCTTTCACCTCCAGTATGCAAAGCTGCCTCCATCTTCCATTCAAGAGGTACAATGAATGGGTCGAATATTCTTAATCTGATATCAGTGAAGGACTAATCTCAACAGAAGAGCCTTTTTACATAAATACATATATGAGAGAAGAAGCCACCAGTTGTTTCTTTTGCTTTATATTGACCTTAGATGATAAGACAATGTCATCGAATGTTAATTATGTGGGTGGTTAGGATTAGGATGGGCAGAAACCCTAAGTATTTCTAGCTGCATATAGTATTTAACAGTATTGAGTGAGATCATCTACCAGCCTCAGATAGAAATTCACATTTCTCTCACTGCAGTGGGAAAAAATCATTAGCTCAAAAGTTGTTCAGAATTTCAGGTATGTCATCATTTTAGAAGATAGCTTCAGAATTCTAATTTAAGATTTTCTGTCCGACGAATGTTTTTACATTGTTAGACTTTCATGAGGTAAATAACAAGCTAGTAGAAAGTCTATAAAAATGTCTTAAGTCATTTCCAGTAACTATGGAACCATAAAACTTTTCTGTTTTAATAGCACTATTGAAGGTATGAAAGCTGCTTTTAGAAACACAATTGTGTCCCAGTGCTAACTTAGAGAGGAAATACAGCCTCCTCCTTCTTAGCACTGAGGACGCTTTCCTCAGCCTCTCTTTATTTTACCTTTTCCCCAAAAGGCCTAACTTGTATGTGTTGTTTTCCACTGTCGCAGTTAGTCCTCGCCCTTCTGGTAATAATAAAATGGTTGTTTTACCCTTCTGAAAAGACTCACGCTTTCTCTTTAATTTCCTTTTTAATGTGTCTTTTGCTGTTTGGAATGTCACAAAACCACTGTCCCTGTTTCATTATGATTAAAGATAAAGAATTGGGTGCACTACTCTTGAGGGAATGCAGCACTCAAAATACATCCCCCCTTTGTGTATTTTAATTGTTTTGGAAAGAATGTCCCATTAATACTTTCAGAATACCTTAGATTTCAGAATCTTTTCTGTGGACTCCTTTACTCCCACTCTTCTTATAGTCACATGCCTTATCAACTTAGAAAATTAAAAATGGCTGTGTGTTAACTCCTTAAATGTAATGCTTAGTTCTTGTATCGCCTCTAGCCGACTGTTCTACCTTCCGAGTGGACACTGCTGTTATCAAGCAGAGAGTGCCGATTTTACTCAAGTACCTAGACTCAGATACAGAGAAGGAACTGCAAGCACTTTATGCACTACAAGCATCAATAGTAAAACTTGATCAACCTGCCAGTAAGTTTATGACCTCTTCTTACTATTCACCTAACCAGCGGGTGAGATTTATCCAGGCCAAGACTTTGGAGATGAACAGTGATTAATGGAAGAATCACTACTAACAAAAACTCAGTTAACCAACAACTTTAATAAATCTGAATTTTTTGTGTACTTGACTTTCATGTGAATATGGGAATAAGAAAACTAGTTTATATTAGAGACTTAATCCTTATTCGAGCAGGTCTGCTTAAGAATACTTTCTTCAGTGATGGAAATGTATCTTTACTGAGCAGTATTCACTTGAGCACTTGAATGTGGCTATTGTAACCAAGTAGCTTAGTTTTAAATGATATTTAAGTGTAAATAACCCCATGGTTAGTGGCTACCCTGTTAGACAGTGTAGGCCTCAGTGCATCTCCACATTAGCATACCTGCATTACAGCTTTTCACCTTCTCTGACACAGGTCTTAGTAATGAAACAGGATGATACTCTTCAGAACCTTCAGACACCCAACAAAAACATTAAGGTGTTCTGGACTAATTTTCACTTTAGGGTATGATTAAGTCTTTGCTAACCAGACAAGTAAGGTAACCTGAACCACCCAAGTCTTAGTGATACTGGTAAATTAACTGAATTATGTTAAATCTTTTTTTTTTCTTTTTAAGTTTATTTATTTTGAGGGAGAACACGGGAAAGAGGCAGAGAGCGAATCCCAAGCAGGTTCTACTCTGCACAGAACCCGATGTGGAACTTGATCTCATGAACTGTGAGATCATGACCTGAGCCAAAACCAAGAGTTGGACGCTTAACGGACTAAGACACCCACAAGCCCCTGAATTGTATTAATTCTTGAAAATTAAGTTGAAACTTGTGAAAGTATAGTAGTCCAGGGCAGTTTCAGAGATGACATTGAGGTAGTTCTTTGGCACTTCCTAAGATTGGGTCTGTTTTGAGGCTTTCCTTCTCTACTTTGCTAGTGCTAAAGACTCTTTCTGGGAGATGAAGGAAAAGATCAAAACAAATAATCCTCACACTGTGACTGAAGAGATATTCTCTAAGTCTGAATCAGAGAATTAACTGACTTGGTGTTCTCTTTCTCAAGACCTTGGAGGGTCATTTAACATCATGGCTTCCTTTTTCTGTTCTTCTAGGATGAGAACTTGTTAACTTTTCAAGAGATGAAATTGATGCTATATGCTCAGCCAGTCAAAGTATCTCCCATAATTTTCAGCTTTAATCATCCCTGGAGAGATGTGTATTTCTAGATTTACCATCAGTAGAATCCGGGCCACTTATTTCCATTTCCCCATAAACCAACCAGAGTTAAGAGAATGAAAAGTAATTTCAACATTAGCTTAACTAATAAAATTACAAAGACAAAGCTAAAGAAAAATTTTAGTCTGACTCATTCCAAGCCTAGTATTTCTTACCATTTATTGTTTATTCCATTGCCTTCCTCCAGTAATATAAGTGGAAACTGATTTTAAATGAATTTAAGAGCACGTAATGAAGGAAATAGAAATAAAGAATATATAAGTCTGCTAACTTTCTCTCTTTTTCTGAACAATGATATAAGCTAAGTTTCCATTGTGGAAGCAAAACAGGATTACATTTGCCCAGATTGTCTGGGCATTGAAAACAACAGACTATTGTTTCTCTGGATAAGATCCAGATGAGATCATTTTTACCCATATTTTCCATATAAATTATTACTCTGTCAGTTTGAAGACAACATTAGGAGAAAAGTACCTTCTGCCTTTTCCTCCCAAAATTTGCAAAAATTACGTATTTTTATTGTAAAATTTCAAACAGTGCAGAAATGTATAGAGAAGAGAGTAACGTTTTTTAAGATTTTATTTTTAAGTAATCTCTACACCCAGTGCAGGGCTCGAACTCACAACCCTGAGATGAGGAAGCTGCATGATGTACTGACTGAGCCAGCCAGTTGCCCCTTGTATTTAATTTTATAGTGTGCAATTTGAGACCTATATTAAACACCTCAGCACTACCAGAAAATAGTACTAATTGAACAAAATGATAACAATAAAAATAATTTAGATTGCTTAAATCTTTTTTCCTGTTCTTTAGACAAGTTGTTTTGCTGTTATACTATCAAGAGAGGGAGTATGATGAATTGTCATTGGGTGCTTTGGTAGTTAATGGGCATTCATTCATTCATTCATTCATTCATTCCTTGGCAATACAGTAATTTCCTTCACAACTACAGCGCCTCCAACACTGATGGCATATTCTTACTTCCTTGCAGATTTGCTACGGATGTTTTTTGATTGCCTATATGATGAGGAGGTGATCTCCGAGGATGCCTTCTACAAGTGGGAAAGCAGCAAGGACCCTGCTGAGCAGAATGGGAAGGGTGTGGCTCTGAAATCGGTCACTGCGTTCTTCACGTGGCTGCGGGAAGCAGAAGAGGAGTCTGAGGATAACTAAAGCTTCAAATACACAAAACGAAACAAAAGAAACAATTTAAGTATTTTTTTAAAAAGTTTCACGTCTTCGCCAATCACAGTGCAGCAAGGCCAATTCTCGCAGAAATCCCCACGTGTGCACGAGTGGGAGAGGGGAAAGAGAAAAAAAGGTGATCATGGAGGAAAAAGGTACTGGAAAAAAGTAAACTTCAAACCTGAGGGCGGGAGCACTAAAACCAAAATACATGTATTATTTATAGAAAATATTTTCTGTTTTAATCTTTTCTTTTTAAACAAGGACTCATACTTTAAGAAAACACATCTGTTTAGCAAAAAGAAAAAAAAAAGTTGAGAACTTTTAATTTATTTTAAGGACTGCAAATGCCAGTGTAATTTTTTAATTTGCAGTTTCTGTAAACAACTTGTATAATAGAAAAGCAGAGAAATAAATTTCCCTCCCCTTCAGATGCACCTCACGTTTGTTTTAAAGCATAGTAGTTAGTCCAGATTTAAGAAGGTTTGGGGTGATCAAGGTAAGAAAGATTTTTTTTTTTTGGCATCAAATCTTTCTGCCTGCCTCTCAGCTTGCTTCAGAAAATTTTTAAAAAATCACAATAGTAATCAAAACATACATAACCTTGGAACAGACGGAAATGCTGTGGACCAGAGAACTCCAAGAATTGTTTTAAAAATTTAAAAAAAAAAGTGCTACCCTGGGAAAAGTACTCTTAATACTTTTGAAATCTTTAGAGCAACCTTAAGGCTTGTAAATACATAGAACAAATATTTAAAAAACAAAAAAACAAAAAGAAATTGACTCAATACTATTTCTTTTCACTTTCAAAATATAAAGAACAAAATAAAGACAAACATTGCAAGTTTAAAGAAAGTAAAGTGACTTCTCCTTTTGACAGCTGCTGCATGAGTGCCCGTCTCTGGGAGGTGCTGTCTGGCTATTTGTCGTCTCATCCAAATCACTCCTGAGGGGGGTGTGTGTGTGTGTGAGTGTGTGTGTGTGTGTGAGTGTGTGTGTGTGTGTGAGTGTGTGTGTGTGTGTGTGTGTGTGTGTGTGTGTATCTACAGTTGGAAAAGGCAAGCTACTCTGTGGGTAAGGAGGGAACTTGGTGGTGGGTGGGAGATTCCCTCTGGGCGTCCATAGGAAGCTGCTTTCCAGCGGCAGCTAGAAATGCATTCAGGGTGGGAGCAAAGCTAAGGGCCAGTCTAAGTAAGTGTTCGACTGTGTGTGGTAGGATTAGGGAAAAACTTAATTCACTTCGGAACTACCACTACCACTAATTTTAAGTCATCAATTACCTCTGATGCTTAAGAAACTCAAAGATGTTGTCTGAAGAATGAAAGAAACCAAAGCTAAATTATGCTTTTTTAAAGTGGGCATGGGATTTAAAACCAAACCAGTACCATGTGTGAAAATCACATTGTTCCCAACTTCAACCTCACTCAAGCCATTCTGGTGAGTATAAAACAACAGTTTCTCCTGCAGATACTGGAGCACTGTGGTTTTTTGTTTGTTTGCTTGCTTGCTTTTTTTCTTTTATGAAGTTACAGTCTCTGCAGATGGTTCTCCATTTCAATTGTTTGTAGGCCATCACCCTACAAAATGTATTTATGAAGAAAGCAAGGGCTTCTCCCAAATAAACAGTCTTTATGTCTTATATTTGGGTAACCAGAGAGTTCTTCTGGCTTCCATCTCCGAAGAAATACCCACATTAAGAGTCTTGGCAAGAATTGAGAAGCACAAAATCAAAACTTTCCATAGCAATAAAATGTTTTTCTTCAGAGTGTAGTTGAACACAATACAGGATCCTGCTGCATGAGCCCTCAGAGCTCATTCCATAGTCATGGAAAGCTGTTCTTGAAAAACTGAGCCCTGGGGTGCCTGGGTAGCTCAGGCGGTTAAGCATCTGACTTCGGCTCAGGTCCTGATCTCACGGTTCATGGGTTCAAGCCCCGCACTGGCCTCTGTGCTGACAGCTAGCTCAGAGCCTGGAGCTTGTTTCAGATTCTGTGTCTTCCTCTCTCTCTGACCCTCCCCTGCTCATGCTGTCTCTCTCTCAGAAATAAATTTAAAAAAAAGAAAAGAAAAACTGAGCCCTGGAAATCTTGTGACAAACGTGACAGCATCTGTCATTAAAAAATGGGGCCTGTGGGGCGCCTGGGTGGCTTAGTCGATTGAGCGTCCGACTTTCGCTTAGGTCATCATCTCGCGGTTCGTGGGTTCGAGCCCCGCATTGGGCTCTGTGCTCTCAGCTAGCTCAGAGCCTGGAGCCTGTTTCAGATTCTGTGTCTCCCTCTGTCTCTGACCCTCCCCTGCTCACGCTCTCTCTCTTTCCTAGAAATAAATAAAACACTGAAAAAACAATTTAAAATAAAAATGGGGCCTGAAAAGCTGTTTCAGGGTCTGGCTGTGGGCTTTGCCTAGGATCTCTCAGTTGGAAGAAATAACCTGATTCTATGATACACTGAGTTTTAACAGCTGCCAGTATCAAAATGCAGAGGATTCTGATCCAGGAATCTCCTGAGTGATGTCATTTTTTAGGTGTTGGCAGCACTCCCAACAGGGGATGCAAGGGGTGGTTTGGAGAAAGCAGGGTGGTGGCCTCCTTTTGGAAATTGGTGGCTGATATTTGCAGGGCTCTGGCCCTCAGGTCATACTGAGGGCCTATTCATCAGTACTTTTATTTTTTTAAAATTATTTTAGGGGTGCCTGGGTGGCTTAGTCGGTTAAGCGTCCGACTTTCGCTTAGGTCATCATCTCGCGGTTCGTGGGTTCGAGCCCCGCGTCAGGCTCTGTGCTGACTGCCAGCTCGGAACCTGGAGCCTGTTTCAGAGTCTGTATCTCCCTTTCTCTCTGACCCTCCCCTGCTCACGCTGTCTCTCTCTCTCCTAGAAATAAATAAAAATATTTTTAAAAAATTATTTTAGAGAGAGTGTGCGTGCAAGTGAGGGAGGGGGTCAAAGGGAGAGAGAGAAAATCTCAAGCGTGCTGAGTGTGGAGCCCTATGCGGGGCTCGATCCCCCAACCCTGGGATCATGACCTGAGCCCAAATCAAGCCTGCTCAACTGACTGAGCTGCCCAGGCAACCTCCTCCCTTTTTAAATTTTTTTAATCATCTGTTTTAGATGTGGACAGGTTTCAGTAATGGAGGAAAGATATTATTATTTTGGAAAAAAAATTCAAGCGTTGAAAATGCTTCTGTGTAACAACTGATGTTTGAAATCTATAACATGAAGCATGATGAAGACTGAAGAGACTAGAGTGACTTTTGGGTATCTTGCTGCTTTACACACAGAATTTTACATAGGGGTTGAAGGGTTGTTAGCTAATGGCAAAACATCAACAAAGTGGGATAATTGATCCCTGCTAATATCAACTCAACTGCCAAGCGTCATCATGATTCTGACCCTCTTCCTGGTCTTCTTACGGGAAAGCAGGGTTTCATGGTTTTTGGTTTAAAATAATAGGTGACATGGCCAGCAATTAAATGCTTTCACTCCTTCAAGCTGTCACAAAAACTCTTTTACCCATTTTAACTGTGAGGAAAGGTTCATTAATTTAGGTTTAGTTCATTAGTTCAAGTGTTTTATGCCTGCTTGCAAAAGAACATGATGCCAGTTTTCAAAATAAACTCCGTTTAGACTCTCCCATAGATGAACAAGCCAGTTCATAGCTGCATCATGAACTTGGTTCATTCACCGAATATTTACTGAGCACCTACCGTGTACTCAGTGCAGAGGATTCAGCAGTGAAGAAAACTTCCTCTGCACTCATGGAGCTCTTCACGAAAAAGAGCTATTCTCTATTCTTCACGAAAAAGAGAGCTAGAGGGACGTCTGGGTGGTTCCGTAGGTTAAGCGTCCAACTTCAGCTCAGGTCATGATCTCGTGGTTCATGAGTTCAAGCTCCATCTCCGGCTCTGTGCTGACAGCTCAGAGCCTGGAGCCTGCATCGGATTCTGTGTCTCCTCTTTCTGTCCCTCCCTCGCTCACGCTCAGTCTCCCTGTCTCTGTCTCTCAAAAATAAACATTTAAAAAAAGAGAGCTAGAGGTTACACATGCTACATCATGCTACATCAACATCCAATGCCACAGAAATGTCTGCCCCTCATTACCCTGACAGACCTTTAACTGGTTTTGTCTTAATTTCATATTACAAAATTCATTCTAGATGAGATATGAATTAAATCCAAAACCATCTTATCTGTTACAGAGCCACTCTTCCAAGGCATTGTTATTCTGGGGTTTTTGACATATGTTTTTGTTTCAAATGGCTCCATTCATGTCAAAAAGATTCTAAGGTAGAAAATACATAGTCTTAGGCTGTTGGATCTAATTCTGTGTTTCCATTACTCAAGTTTTGTTCTCTTAAAAAATAGAAAAATACGTAGATATTCAGATGTGCAATTCTGACCATTCCGTTGGCACTTACGAGCTCCCCATTTTGTGGAGAGGAACAATCTGCATTGCTTTCTTTTCTTTTGCTTTCTTTGTGTTGCTTTTTTATTATTGGGATATACTTCCCATACTATAAAATCACCCTTTTAGAGTGTAGAGTTTGGTGCTGTTAGTATCTCCACAGTTGTGCTGCCATCACCACTATCTAATTTCAGAACATTTTCATCATGCCAGAAAGAAACCCCATGTCCTTTAGCAGCCTCTCCTCATTTTCTACTCTCCTCAGCCTCTAGGAACCACTAATCTACTTTTTGTTTCTGTGGATTTGCCTATTCTGGACATTTCATATAACTAAAAGTCTGCATTCCGTTACTTTTTTTTTTTTTTTTGGACATCCAATCCAACATTTAGCAAATGATCAAACCTCACAGGTGTTTGCAATGTCAGGGACCTGAGTGCAGGAGTTAGACCCAGATTTTTCCCTGTCTTTTTGATTTAACGTTTTGTTTTCCACCACTTATTTTTATATAATCAGTATTATATTTACAACCATTAGCTAATTCTGAATAAGTTCTCAGAATTTACTTTTGTCCCCCTGTGGACTTGATGTATCTGACCTCAGATGCTTGACATCCTAGGTCCAGCAACCAGAGTCTGGTCCTCTTAACTTCTCATTTAGTGCTGCTTGAGTAGGTTTTTTGGGATTAAAGTTCTATTTGGGATTGAAGGCTACTAGAGTGTATGCTATAAAAGTTAAGATGTACTTGACTTGAAGTCAGGTTTTATGTGTCCTCTTCATTGAGGCCCATTTGCCTCAAATACTGTGTGACTATCTATTAAACAGCTTGATGCAGTTTGCTTGTCAAGAGAATAAAATTGCTCAGTAAGGAATAAAAATGCCTTG